AGCAGTTTATCGAGGGATGCAGGGAGGGGAGACGTGGGGGCCTCCTTCCCCTACCACAGCTCTCTGTTACAGGTGGAGGCTTCCAGTCTGGGGGCGGCCGGGGTCGAGGTGGTGGCCGGGGAGGCAAGAGAGGAAACCAGTCAGGGAAGAATGTGATGGTGGAGCCGCATCGCCACGAAGGTGAGGTGACAGGTGGGGAGTTGGCTACAGCCAGAGGAGGCCATGGCTACACTGTCCCAGTCACACTGTGCTCTCCCCCTCACCAGGCGTCTTTATCTGTCGCGGGAAGGAGGACGCCCTGGTCACAAAGAACCTGGTCCCCGGAGAGTCTGTGTACGGAGAAAAGAGAGTCTCGATTTCAGTGAGTCCTGGACCCTTGTCCAAAGCGTCAGGCCCCAGCTGACAGCATTGCCTGCTATCCAGTCTTCCATGGTGTCCTACACGGGACGGCTGGGGGGTGTCTTAATGTATAAGGCAGGCTGTGGCCTCATAGCTGCAGCAGTTCCTAGCTCCCCTCAATTCTCTGGCCTTGTCTCCGGCCTCCATACTAAACTGTTTCCTTGTCCTCTGTCTCAGGTCAGGCACTGCCTGCTCCTTGATGAGGCAGTGCTACATCGCCCTCCTTGTCTAAGCGGTCCTCACTGCCACGGCCCTAGCTCTCTCGTGTCCTTGTCTCTATGGCCAACCGCGGCCTCCTTGCTCACCTCCTACTCTATGCCTGGAATGTTCTTCCCAGTGTGGTATTGGTAGCTCCCTCTCCACCTCCAGATCTGGTTCAAAAGCGTCCCTCGACCTCCTGGTCCTTTTTTTCTTTTTCGTATTTTCCTTGCTCTGTTCTGGTTCCTGTCCTGTGTTTCTGCTCTGTTCTGGTCTCTGTAGCCTGTCACCATCTCCTGTGTCAGTTTGTATTTAGCTAGTTCAATGAGTACTTGTCTCTCAGGGCAGGATAGATATATGGCCTATTCACTGTTGTTCCGGAACCTATGTGCTGGGACAGGACAGAGTGCCTAGTACGCAGTTGTGCCTCTCACTTGTGTATTTCCTGGCCTCTGTCCTGGTCCGTGCTGGACATGTACATTTAGCTCGTACAGAGCGATTGGAATGTGCCCTTGCTTTTAAGGGCCCTAGGGTTACAGGGAATGGTGTCCTGCATGAGACCCCAGCACTGATTCTGTCTCCATCCCTCTTGGCTCAGGAAGGAGATGACAAAATTGAGTACAGAGCCTGGAACCCCTTCCGCTCCAAGCTGGCAGCAGCAATCCTGGGCGGTGTAGACCAGATCCACATCAAGCCGGGGGCCAAGGTGCTCTACCTTGGGGCAGCCTCAGGCACCACCGTCTCCCACGTCTCTGATATTGTCGGCCCGGTGAGTGGACAGGTGGTAGGGATAGAGGGAACTGGGCCTGTCCATTTCCCTGCACTGTCTGATGTAGATGGAGCCAGCTTTATCCCTCATTCTGTGACAGGAACAGCTTGAAGCAGAGTTTCTTTCAATACCACTCCTGGGTTCCTGATTTTAATTGTGAGCCAAAGCGTGTAGTTGGTGTTAAAGTGACCCAGAGCTGGATGTGTAGATACCAAACTATTTTGGTTGAAAAAATGTGTGTCCAAGGGCTGAAAGGGGTGATTCAGTCATTAAAGTGCTTGCCACACAATCATGAGGACCTGATTTTGATCCTCAGAGTGCATCTTAAAAAACAAAACTAAATAGGTGTGGCGGTATATGCCCTCATAGTGTGGCAAAAGGCCAGTCTCTAGTGCCTGCTGAGCCAACAGCACTGGTGAGAGACCTTGTCTCAAAAACATGATAGGCCTAGCATTGGTGGTTCATGCCTTTAATCTCAGCACTGGAGAGACAGGAGCAGCAGATTTGGTGAATTAAAGGCCAGTCTGATATACACAGTGAGTTCCAGGACAGCCAGAGCTACATGGAAACCTTGTCTCAAGAAAAGAAAGAAGGAAAAAAATAGGATGGGTAGAGTTCCTGGGAGAGTGGCACCTCACATTGCCCTCCAGCTTCCACACAGAAGCAAAACATTCATGTCCCCCAAACCTAGTTTTTTGCCCTTGCCCCACCCCCACCCCCACCCAGTGTTGGATGTTGGACCTAGGGCTTCCTGAACTGCTCAGCAGGTATGCTAACAGCGAGTTACGTCCCAGCTTTGGTTTCTGCTAATGAGCTTACAGTTCTCTGTGGAGGTACAGGAGCCCAGTGCAGAGAGCGCCTGCTTCTTGGGTGTCTCACTTGACACCTTCTTGTTGCTTGGCTGAGTTATAGACTGTTTTATTTAGTTAGTGAAAGCACACACCTTTGTAATCCTAGCCTAAGCTATATAGACCTCATCTAAAAACAAACAGCAGCAACACTCAGACTTGTGTAGGCATCTGCCGGTGTGTGGCTCCAGTGAGGAACCTGAGCTCTGAGCCAGGGGTTAGCCCTCTGGCGAAGAAAATTGCTTAGAATATTAAATATGTCCTGTAAGTGTTGGTCCACTGCGAATGCTCTGAGCTCTGCTACTTTGTCTCTCTTTACTCTGGACGCCTGGGTTTTTACCCTGGGTTGGGAGCCTGGCCACAGGTCAGATAAGTTGGGATCTTAAAGCTTGGTTGCTTGTGAATAACCATGGCTCATGGCTTCTCCTCACTGGGCCCGTTTATTCATCTGGACTGTAGACATACTGACAGTTATTTCAGAGCAGGGTTTTGATTGAAGGTCTGAGAACCTGCTACAAGTGGCACCCAAGCCGAGTGTTAGCAGCTGTACTGAGCACCAGTGCGTTCTCATCGATGTTGGATTGATTTTAGGATGGTCTGGTCTACGCAGTTGAGTTCTCCCACCGCTCTGGACGTGACCTCATCAACTTAGCCAAGAAGAGGACCAACATCATCCCTGTCATTGAAGACGCTCGGCACCCACACAAATACCGCATGCTCATTGGTGAGATCCTTGGAGGGGGCCCAGGGGGAGGTAGGATAAGTCACTGCATGGTTCTCGGAGGATGCTGCATTAGGTGGAGCTAGCGTGCCGAGCAGGCTGGATCGTGTCAGGCGTCCCCTCTGCTCCTCTCTAACGCTTGGTACCTTTTTACACTGCCTGGTTGTGTTTTAAAGCCATTATCTGATGAGAGTCCAGCCCCGACCACAGCAAGTAAGACCCAATGGCTTGGTTTTTTAAAAACACCTCAAAGGTCTAGTATAAAAGTGGAGAGGCTCGTGAATTCCTCCAGAGGTACTCGATACCGCGTCGACAACTCCGTAAAGGACATTTACACTCCATCGCGTTGGTTGTTCTTGTTTTAACACTCCCTTAAGACATTACCTTTCCATCGCACTGTTTTGTTTGGGTTTGATAGGGTTTCGGTTGGTTTTGTTTGTTTTGTTTTTCCTGTGCATCTTTCTCAGTGCACTCAGCCCTCTCAGGTCCTTGTCATTTGACAGCCCTGCCCACGTCTTGTCTTTAACTGCTCACACTTACTTGTCTTTTTGATGACATGTCTGTCTCCCCCCCAGACCCGGGAGGATCTCGAGGGCAGGGTCCGGGTCTGACTCGTCTCTGTGTCCCCCACGCCCAGCCCAGGGCTGGCCACAGAGTAGGTGGCAACCGTTGATTTACAAGAGGAGTGGATGAGTGATGTGGCTTGCGGGTTCTGGTTCCACCTTTGGGGTGCTTTGGAGGGAGGCCTTGTGGTGGGGAGTAAGGCTGGAGGCAGGAGAGTCCCAGGAACCTGGTGGTGAAGGAGCACAGGCCCCTTTGGGAGGCTCTGGGAAGCGCTCTGCTGGCTTCTGTGTGTAACCGCTGCCCCCTTTTCCTTAGCAATGGTGGATGTCATCTTTGCCGACGTAGCCCAGCCAGACCAAACCCGGATTGTGGCCCTGAATGCCCACACCTTCCTGCGGAATGGAGGACACTTTGTGATTTCTATTAAGGTATGGATGTTGCAGTGTAAGATTGAGTAGCCACAGAGTGTGGTGTGGGTGCCTGATCTCCTGTGGCCGAGCATGCGCCTTAGCCTGTCTGACTTGGTTTCTTTATTAGTCCTCTTTACGATTGAAGTAAAGATTGATAAATGTTAAGCATTTGGGACAGATCGTGGGATAGAATAAATATTAAATGCAGCAGGTACAGTTTTCAAAACTTTTAAGATACAGAAAACTCTTAGGCGTCCTCACCATGTTCAGAACTGGCCAGCCTGTTGTTCTATTGTTGCTAGCTGGGCTTCCGGGATATGGAAGAAAATGACTGACTTTAAACACTGCCTTAGATAAATGAAGCAACCTGTTTCCAATGGGAGCCAAATGAAAACGTCTTTACTGAAGTTAGGGAATTGGCTAAGCCTGTGTCTCCAAAACCTGTAACAAAGACAGACTTCAAGGGAGTCTTTTTACCTCTCAGGCCAACTGCATTGACTCCACAGCCTCAGCAGAAGCTGTGTTTGCATCCGAAGTGAAGAAGATGCAGCAGGAGAACATGAAGCCCCAGGAGCAGCTGACACTGGAGCCTTATGAGCGAGACCACGCTGTGGTCGTAGGTGTGTACAGGTGAGTACAGGCTAGACCTCTCCGTTATTACTTGCAGCCGGCCGGAGCTTCCTGGGCCTGGGAAGCTAAAAATGGTTACAACTCGACCTCCTTGATTTCCTCACAGGCCCCCTCCCAAGGCGAAGAATTGAAACCCAGAGCTGGCTGGAGTGAAGAAATGTGTGTTGCTACCGTTGCACGTGTGGCTTTTGATTTTTTTTTTGCGGGGGGGGAGTTGTTTTGTTTTTCTATTAAAAGACTCATCCGTCTTCCCTGTCTGGTGCCGATTGCTCAGTGGCCTCGAGACGCATGCGCCCTTGGTCAACTTTCTGTGTGCTGGGGGGTGGCGCCTGGAAAGTTTCGTCCGGTCACATGGTGCATGCTCCATTGGTGGCGGCCACGCACGTGCGCGGCTAAGCACCCTTAAGGCGCAGGCGCACAGTGCTCCACCAGGTCACGTGAGGGGTGTGGGGGCGGAGCCGGGGCAGGGGGGCCGGTTTGTTGTGGTCGCCATTTTGCTGGTTGCATTACTGGGTAATCGGGGCCCTGGCTCGCCGCGTCCACCGGACACCCTCAGCCAGTGGGCAGGTCTGAGCTCGGGCTCCCCGAGCAGTTTGAATCCCCTTACCCACGCCCTCAGGTAACGGTGCTGCGACGGGCGGGGCGGCACCCTTGGGTGGGGGGCAGGCCGGGATCCGCCCTGCCGGTCCCCGCGAGATTTAGCAAAGGAGAGGAGGGGGCTTCGGGCCAGGGCAGCGGAGCCCGGCGCTTCACAGCCGGATTCCTGGAAGGGGCTGAGCCCGAGGGAGCCGTCTTAAGAGGGTGTCTGGGAGGGGGCACCCCGGCCCCACTCCCGCCCTTTGTTTGGGCTCGGCTGCGCTGGCCGCTTCGCTGTCGCCTAGCAACAGCTGCCCTGAGTGCTAATTGGTTAGGCTCTTGGCAGCAACAACCAATGGCGCGGTTGTTGCCATGGGAGGTGCGGCCTGCCGGGCTCATTTGGGCCCCGCCCGCCGGGACTCCACCGGCTGGGGCGGGCCTGCCGGGTGGGGGGCGGGACGCCAGGGTCCCTGGGGGCGGGTGGCCGCGCGGGGCGGGGCTGGGCTGTAGGGCGAGGGTTAACCCGCCCCTCCCCCGTCCACCTGCTGTCCCCTTCCCCCCGCGTGCCCTGGTCTGACCCTCGTCCCCTCCTTTCCCCGCCCCTCCCCCTCGGTGGCAGTGGTGGCGGCTGCTGTTGTCACCCACCAGGCCGCCTGTCCCGCTTGCCCTCACCGCCGCGGGGCTGGCTAGGCTAGCCGGGCCGGGGACAGGCGGCCACCTCATCACCGCTGCTGCCACTACCACCGCTATGCTGGCCGCTCGCCCACCGCACTGGGGTCCCCATCGCACTCCAGCCCCCCATGGGCCCAGCGCCAGCCCTGACCCGGGTAGGGGTGGGAGCTGAAAGAGCTGGTCCTGGGGGGGGGGAGGTTGTTTATCTGTGATGCCCCCATAAAGGGGACCTAGAGTAGCAAGACCTAGCATAGAAGGGACTCTGACAAGAGGGAGCTTCCTAGGGAGGGGATTTTTGTTCCGAAGGACACTTTGAGGGAGGGAAGTCTTGTGCGATAGTCAGGGATTTGGCTGTCCGGCCCTTCTAGGAATAGGCTCAATTGTGGAATGACCTGACTTAGAGGAGATAGCAGGGGCCCTAGGATAAGGACAGAAAAGACTGTGACTCTTAGATGTTGAGAAATGACCCCTTTCCCTTGTTTTCCTGAGGAGTGGGGGTCTTGGGGAAATCCTAGTGGGATAAATATAGACGACTTAGGATTCCTGGTGCGGGAGAGCTCGGATAGGGAGCGGGCGCGGGCTGGGTGAAGGATGGAGTCGTCCCAGGGGGAGGGTGCTGTGCTGGTTGAGACAGTCTTTACATCTGGAATGTAAAGTTCTCAGATAACCTTGATTTTGCTAGGAGGTCCACAAGGACTGCTATGTTCTTTAGAGTAGAAAGAACTAGTGGGTAGATCAGGCTTGAAATTAGGCCCTTGGTGTTGAGGGAAGGCCATGTGAGGGCGGGGCCTTATCTGAGGAACTCAGGCTGGCCACCAGGAAAATTTCAAAGAAAGACTGAATTCTGTTCCCCAGACTCTCCATGGTCTCTGCCTTCTCTTTTGCTCTCCTAACTCCTGGCTTCTTTCTGTCCTTCCTCCCCTGGCCTTGCACTCACCCTCTCCCACCCGTCTGCTCTCACCACTCCCTTGTCTGTTTCTGGATGTGGTGCCTCATTCATCTGTTTGGCTTGTCATTTGTTGAGAGGCATGGCTGTGCTAGTTCACTGGCTACCCTTTTCTGTTTCTACATGGCTGCCTGGTGCTGGTGCTCTGCCCTGTCCCCTGTCCCCCTGGTCCTGCCCCCTAATTCATGCCCACCTCTTCTCTAAGTGACCCTGGTCTACATGCCTTCTTGTTCCATGTTGTCTTCCCACTTCCTACCTGCTCTCAGGTCTCAGCGGCGGTGGCAGCCGAGGTGCAGGATGCGAGAAGGCGCCCCCCCGCCGGGCTCCCGCTCCAGGCCTCACACCCCTGCGGCCCTCTGAGCCCACCATGGCCGTCCCACCAGGCCATGGTCCCTTCTCTGGCTTTCCGGGGCCCCAGGAACACACACAGGTAGGCATTCAGCTGGCTTCTCACCTGCCTGAGGATTGAAGGGTCTCCAGACAACAGCATGATTGTGGGAGGATCTCTGGGGATTTTGGAAGCCTCACAATACTGGAAGAGTTTCAGGTAGTTGGACTCTGAAGAGTCCACCCTCATTCCTGCTGAGGACTGAATTCTTGAGCTTCTCCATGGCCTGCCCTCTCTCGCAGCATGGTTTTGAAGTAAAGTGTAATGTGTGTCTTTAGTTCAGAACTGTCACTGGCACAGAGCAGACAGGAACACAGGTCTTAAGTGTTCACAATGAGAAAGAAGTCTGAAGTAAGGGGCCTGAAGGAAGTCTAGAGAGGGTTGGAAGGAAAATGAACTGAGAACTGTGGGAGACGGAGTCCAAGAGCTTTTTAACTGGGCAGAGACACTTGAGAGTGGGGACATGGAGATACAGAAAATTCATTGGCATGGTTCCCAGAAACAGCAGTCCCAAGTACAAAGATTCGGGGGACAGAACCCAGATGTGGAGCAAAAGGGCTGACCTGGGACTGAATGGAAGGTCAGAGGTAACTCACTTCATATAGTGAGCAGATGAGTGGGGAACCCACAGTGTGTGCTTGTGCTCTGCAGGATGGGGTGGAGCTAGAGAAACATGGCCACGGTCACATGAGTCTTCAGCGTTCCCGTTCTCTCCCTGGAAGTGCCTTGGAGGTTTAGGCTTGTGCTGTGTCCTCTCTACCGCAGGTATTGCCTGATGTGCGGTTACTGCCCCGGAGGCTTCCCCTGGCCTTCCGGGATGCGGCCTCAGCCCCGCTGCGCAAGCTCTCGGTGGACCTCATCAAGACCTACAAGCACATCAATGAGGTGAGTGGGGAATGCAGCTCCCTGGTTGGGTGTTGGAAAGGCTCCTGGCTTCTTGCCTGGCTCACTCAAGGGTCTGGTCTCCTGGCTGCCTGAGCAGGTATACTATGCGAAGAAGAAGCGGCGGGCCCAACAGGCGCCACCCCAGGACTCGAGCACCAAGAAGGAGAAGAAGGTCCTGAACCACGGTTATGACGACGACAACCACGACTACATTGTGCGCAGTGGCGAGCGCTGGCTAGAGCGCTATGAGATTGACTCTCTTATTGGCAAAGGCTCCTTTGGCCAGGTGTGGGGCTCGCCCACTCATCCAGTGCCTGGATGCAGACAGCCACTAACCTTACCCAGCATTCCCTCCTCCCCAAGTGCTTCGCTTGCTGCAAGTCCTGTCCTGGGCCAGCCACTTAGTTCCCCTGTCTCAGTTCTGTATGAGTATAAATCACAAGACTCCTTGTAAGAGAACTGTTGTTAGTTTGTATCGGGTAGGAAGGGTGTGAGCACTGGGCTGTGAGTTGTTAAAAAGGAGTGGCTGGTCGGCCTCCCACCTACCCAGGTACCTCTGCGTGTCTCACAGGTGGTGAAAGCGTATGACCACCAGACTCAGGAGCTGGTGGCCATCAAGATCATCAAGAACAAAAAGGCCTTCCTGAACCAGGCGCAGATTGAGCTGCGGCTGCTGGAGCTGATGAACCGGCATGACACGGAGATGAAGTACTACATAGGTGAGGCCTGGGCCTGCGCGGGGCGGGGCAGGGCGGCACTGCCACCGCCCCACCCACCCCCCGCCCGCGCGCACACAGACACCTCCACTAGACAGACCTCCATGGGGGGTCTTCGGGCTCCTCAACCTCTGATGCTCCTGCTGTGGCCATGATTTCTCTTCTGTGCTCACTGAGGGCCAAACTCTGTTGCAAACACTTGCCATGAATTACCTCCTCCGCCCTCCAGCCTGGCGAAGGACAGGGCAGCTTTGTGTACATGTTGGAGAAACTGAGGCACTCATAGCTGTCACATTCATGAGGTAACAGTTCAGACTCAACAGTTGATACTGTGAGAAGCAGTGGCCTCTAGCTCTGGCTCTTGAGCTATGTCGCAGTCTTCCGTTCTTCTGGAAAGAGACGCTTTAATAAGAGGACAGTCAGTACCCCTTGCCACTCGGGTATACATAGCAAAGACGAAAACAGGTTCTTTAGGTTGTTTGGGGGTTTTGATGATGGTGCTATTTTTGGAGACTTTGTTTTGCTATTCTGGGGACCAAGCCCAGTACTTCATGTATAGTAGGCATACAAGTCCCCCCTCAACCACCACCCCTCCCCCCCCAGAACAGCTCCAGACCTTTTTATACTTGACTAATTTGAGATAGGGTCTCACTAAATACATCCAGATGGACCTTGCACTAACAGTTTTCGTGCATGAGTGTACAAAGACCTGGGTCTCCATGCCTGCACCCTAGACCTGGTTCAGTGGTGTAAAATGAAGTGAGGAAGCCTAGAACTGTTTTCAAGCTTTCTTAGGCGGGGCAGTACCTTTTGTTTTCCTTTGCAGTGCTGGGGCTTGAACCCTGGGCCTCATGCTCCCTAGGCAAACATGCTGCCGCCCTTTTGTCAATCCCATAACCTACGATAGTGTGACCCTAAGTTCCAGCAGCCTTTGGAGTTCTGGTTTGCTGTATTCTGGGCGTCACTGTAATCGAAGCTGGCCTTGAGCGCATGCTCATCACGCGTTCTCTTTCCAGTGGCTGCGACTGCAGTCATGCTCACTACTGCTGGCAGAACCTTCCCTCTGGTAAAAACTGGAAGGTGTGAGAGGCTCACGAGAATGAACGTGCCTTGCAAGTCCAGTGCATCGGTGTAGGAACACCTGAGGACCCACTGCAGTCTACCAGGGGTGGTTACTGTGTGGTCCCAAGCCACCTGCCATCAGTGTGTCTGACCTGTTGCCCGCTGTCACCTGTTGCCCGCAGTGCACCTTAAGCGGCACTTCATGTTCCGGAATCACTTGTGCCTGGTGTTTGAGCTGCTGTCCTACAACCTGTATGACCTCCTCCGCAACACGCACTTCCGAGGAGTCTCGCTGAACCTGACGAGGAAGCTGGCCCAGCAGCTCTGTACAGCTCTGCTCTTTCTGGCCACCCCCGAGCTCAGTATCATCCACTGCGACCTCAAGCCTGAGAACATCCTGCTTTGCAACCCTAAGCGCAGCGCCATCAAGATCGTGGACTTTGGCAGCTCCTGCCAGCTTGGCCAGCGGGTGCGGGTTTGACAGGGCCAGTGTCTTCGGTGGGATGGGGTGGGACGACTTCATTTTGGCCTTGGAAGCTGATGGCCAAGAGATGATACTAGGCATAGAGAGGCCGGCCTGGAGAGAGGTAGTGGGAGATGAAGGGGCACAAACAACGCAGCAGGGTGAGCTAAGAGCCAGGCACTCCTCAGAGGAGTGCAGTTGTGATCTGAACCTCAGGCCGCGTTGCTGACTGCGCTCGCTCACAGGTAGAGGACCGTGAAGCCTTGCAACCACATGTGAACAGGCCCGGCCCTGGGGCTTACACTAATGTAGTGCAGTGTGTGATGGCCAGCCTCTCTTTATTAAAAAGGACCAGAGCTGGGAATGAAGGCAAGGTTAAGGCAGGAAGGCCATGGAAGACTGGAGGCTGATGAACAAGACAGTGACTGGCTTGTGCAGCATTGCCGAGAGCCTCACAACCTAGAGGTTCCATCCTGTTTTCAGGCAGGGGCTTGTCTGCACTTGAATCTTCCAGTGGAACCAGCAGGGGAGCTGGTGCCCTGACTACTGTCCCCTCCCCCAGATCTACCAGTATATCCAGAGCCGCTTCTACCGCTCACCCGAGGTGCTCCTGGGTACACCCTATGACCTGGCCATCGACATGTGGTCCCTGGGCTGCATCCTTGTGGAAATGCACACCGGAGAGCCCCTCTTCAGTGGCTCGAATGAGGTGTGCCCCTGGAAGGGGTGCCCTGGAGGTGGAGGGGTGGAGCCTGGCCACCTGTCGCCCCTGACCACCGCCTGCCCGCAGGTGGACCAGATGAGCCGGATTGTGGAGGTGTTGGGCATCCCTCCCGCACCCATGCTGGAACAGGCACCCAAGGCTCGCAAGTACTTTGAGCGGCTGCCTGGGGGTGGCTGGACCCTACGAAGGACAAAGGAACTCAGGAAGGTGCGGCCCCTGCCCTGTGCCACTTCTCCCTCTCTGGGTGTCCCCTCACTCACACTTGGGGCTCCCCTCTCCCTGTGTCTTTCCCTGTCTTCCTTTCCCCCCTTGTCTGACCTTTTCTTCCTCCCCTGCCCACCCCATCACCATCCCACCCCCACAGCTCTTGTTAGCTTTCTCTCCCTCTCTCTTTCTTGTGCCTCTGTTTCCCCGTGTGTGTCTCCCTGCCCCTCCTGCCCACTGACGGCCACTCTCTTGCCCCCCCTCCCACCCCCTCCCTGCCAGGATTACCAGGGCCCTGGGACACGGCGGCTGCAGGAGGTGCTGGGCGTGCAGACGGGCGGGCCCGGGGGCCGGCGGGCGGGGGAGCCGGGCCACAGCCCCGCCGACTACCTCCGCTTCCAGGACCTGGTGCTGCGCATGCTGGAGTATGAGCCGGCCGCCCGCATCAGCCCTCTGGGCGCGCTGCAGCATGGCTTCTTCCGCCGCACGGCCGACGAGGCCACCAACACGGGCCCGGCAGGCAGCAGTGCCTCCACCTCGCCGGCGCCCCTTGACACCTGCCCCTCCTCTAGCACCGCCAGCTCCATCTCCAGCTCTGGTGGGTGCCCCATGTCAGATGTGTACCGCAGGGCCCAAGTTTGGGTGGCCTACCCACCGGGCCTCTGTCCTAGAGCCCCTGGAACTACCAGATTCTTGGCTCTGAGGTGGGGTGGGACAGTCCCACGTGACCCAACAGGATCTCGGAACTGGGGCTGGAGACTCAGTCCTTAGAACGGACTCTAGCCTTCCACGAAACTTTGACCCTAGATTTCAAAATCGGGCTGTTGGCAGCCTTCACCCTTGCTCTGCTCTCAGCGTCTACACTTGGGGTCTCGGTGGCAAGCAGACTCGCTTCCATCTTACCATCTCTGTCCTCTTTCTCTCCTTCCTGGTGCTTCTAGGAGGCTCCAGTGGCTCCTCCAGCGACAACAGGGCCTACCGCTACAGCAACCGATATTGTGGGGGCCCAGGGCCCCCCATCACTGACTGTGAGATGAACAGCCCCCAGGTACTGGAGCTGTGAGACTCTGGAAGTGGGTGGCAGGTGCCTGGGACTTGATCTCACTACCCACGTCTCCTTTACTTTTTCTTTAGGTCCTACCGTCCCAGCCTCTGCGCCCCTGGGCAGGCGGTGATGTGCCCCACAAGACACATCAGGCCCCCACCTCTGCCTCAACAGTGCCGGGGACCGGGGCCCAGTTACCCCCACAACCCCGATGCCTTGGACGACCCCCATCACCAACATCACCACCGCCCCCAGAGTTGATGGATGTGAGCCTGGTGGGCAGCCCTCCGGACTGCTCTCCACCTCATCCAGCTCCTGCCCCCCAGCACCCGGCTGCCTCAGCCCTCCGGACTCGGATGACGGGAGGTCGACCACCTCTCCCACCCCCTGATGACCCTGCCAGTCTGGGGCCTCGCCTGGGTCTCCATGGTGTACCCCAGAGCACAGCAGCCAGCTCATGACCCTGCCCCCTCCCTGGGGCCCCTCCTGAAGCCATACCCCCCCATCTGGGGGCCCTGGGCTCCCATCCTCATCTCTCCCCTTGACTGGACTTGCTGCTACCCAGCTGGGGTGGGTGAGGCCTGCACTGACTGGGGCCCAGGGCAGGGGATCAAGGGAGAGGAGTTTGGCCACACCCTTCCCACTAAGACTGGACCCTTGGTCCCCCTCCCCCCCTTGTTTTCTATTTATTGTACCAAAGACAGTGGTGGTCCGGTAGAGGGGAGAGTCCCCCTTACCCAGGGCCCTAGGAGGGGGTGGGGGCAGGTAGGGGGAGATGGCCTTGCTCCTCCTCGCTGTACCCCCCAGTAAAAAGCTTTCTCACATGCCTGCCTGAGCGTTTGCAGGGCCTTGGTTCCCTCCCCTGACCCTCAGAGGCATGGTGGGGAAGGTTGTCTGGGGAAGGGCTGCTTTGTGATGTGGGTCTAGCCCTCCTGGTGACATCATAGTTGTTGGTGCAGGCGTGGGGCAGCAGGAGTTTGATGGGCTGAGAAACCTGGATACAAGAACCCTGGCCCATATTTGCCTTTTCCAGGGTAAAGGCCTCCCGGCCTATTGCTAGGAATTGTGATGGTCTACCCTCATCGGTCAGGGTTTCCAGAGTCCACACAGAAGTGGCTCTTTTTTTGTCAGGCAGGCATCCGGTAGGTTGTGGATGTATTTGGCAGGCCTTCTTAGGTACCATCGGGGGAGCAGACAGTGGGTACAGATTTTATCCCACCCATGTCCAGCCCCACTCTGCGGTCATTGCCAGTATTGAGATTCTCGGGCAAAAGATGCTCCCTGACCTCCAGGTAAGTGATTTTTTTTTTTGTTTGTTTCCATGGCAATTTGGAACCACCTGTCTCCCAACCAGTTTGTAAGAATCACCGGGTTCTCGCACAAGGGGGGGTTGCGGTGCTGATTCCTGGGAGATGGAGTTCTACAAGGCCAGCTCTTTGCTCACTTTTCTTGAGAACTACAAAGCCCAGAAGTCTCTGCACACATGGCTGGGGATTGGTGTTCGGTAAGCTGTAGGGCGGTGTGGCTCAGATGTTGGAGGATCCGTAGTGCAGGTTGATTGGATGGTGCTGGTGTGCAGCCATAGGGTGGGGATGGAGGGAGCATAGTCAGCCATCCTTGCAGGGTCCAGCGATGGTGGGTCTGTGCAGAACCTCTGTGAGCAGGAGCCTGTTGTGGGAAAGTGATAGGTAGCAGTGGTCATCTTAAGAGGGCCGTTGAAGATTGATTTATTGGAGATATTTGGTTATCTAGAAAGCTGGACTTTTTTGAAGGGACAGGGGCACTGTGAGAGGAAGGTGCACAGCCCAGTTTTGCCACAGCATGGAAGTACGTTGGGAAAGATGGCTTATGGCAGGCCCCTAGGTAAGGGTAGCCTAGAATGTGACAGGTTAGGGGGGTGGTGCTGAGAAGGCCAAGAAAGGACAGGTGAGCTTTCCAGACAACTGAGTTGAAGGAAGAGGTGGAGAGGGGCAGGGAAGGGAGGTCTCCAATATATAGAGCACCCTATCCCCTATTAATAGTCTTGGTTGGTTTTGTTTTGTTTTTTTAATTATGTGTTCTCTTGGTGCTGGGGATGAAATCCAAGAAATCCCAGATGCGAGGCAAGTATTCGACATAGCCAGCCTCCCAGTAAAAAGAGTTTGAATGAACAGTTGTAGAAGACAGGAACTGCAGTGGCCTTTCCAAATCTGGGGGTTAAGTGGGCAAATGGAGGTTACTTTTTTAAGGTCACACAACTAGGAAGTAGCCTCAGGTTGCTGTGCATGTGTGCGTATATTCGTGTGTGTGTGTGTGTGTGTGTGTGTGTGTCACACTCCAGTCATTAATTTAACAAGGTTTATTGAGCCTGGAAGCATCAGCAGGGCCAGATCATGTAGGCCCCATGGGGTATCATTTGTATTGTGGTTGAGAACCAATGCCCAGCTCCAGGCTGACTGACTACCTGATACCTCATTGGTATTTCCAGGGTATCCTCAGAAGTTGAGGCAGGTGAAAGTCTGTGGCATCCTCCTCATTGGTCTTCTGCCCTCACCATTTCTCCCCATGTAACCAAAGAGACTCTGAGCACCTATTTTCCCTCCCGGCTGAGACTCCCTCTGGACTCCATCTCACTCAGGGTAAAAGTCCACATCCCTTCCATGACACTGGCTCTTCACCATCCACCCTCATCACCTGTCTGAACTGGTTGACTCTCACTCTGCTCCAGCCACACTGGGCCCAGCCTTTGCACTTGTTATTCTGTGCCTGGATCATTTGTCTCTACACAGCCCAGACTTGCTGCCTGACCGCTCTCCTGATACTGCTAACATCCCTGACCATTCTTTCTTTAGCTTTTGTTTGTATCAGTCATATTGCTGCTGACAGGCGTTAAAACTTACCTTATCAGCTGCCCCTCCCCACTTTCCGGGAGGCCTTGACCTTCTTGGAAACGGGTATTTGGATCACCTCATGCTTTCTCTCCCACACTGAAGAACAGGTGACGCCCCTCAGGTTCACTGTCAGATGAGCACTTTGAGAGCATAGATCCTGATTTCAGCCTCCTGAGATGTCGCATGTCCCCCTCTATACAGTAAACGTTGCTGAGAGCTCCAACGGTGAACAGTGTGGGACACCACAGAGAAGAAAGGAGAGTTGCTCTGCCTTGAAAGACCTCAGTCTCAAGGTGGAGTCAGTCAGGTGGCACAGCAGTGGGAAGTGACCAGGATCAAGAGCGTTCAAGTCTGGATTAGGAATTTCTAATCTGGCTCCTAGGAAGACTATCCAGACCATAGGGTTAGCATCAGCTCTCTTCAGAGAGAAGTGTGTATGTGATGATTGGCCGCCAGAGGCTATGGAGGAACACAGGGCCATATCTGTCCCCCCACATCCCCATGTTTTCCTGTACCCACCCCACCGTACCTCACCCCATGTATGTAAAGTTGTAGCAGAATTAGTCAGTGGGACAGAGTGTCAGGTTAGCTGTGTTAGCATTTTGTTTCATTTTACATTTGTCTGCATGCGCGTTTTGCCGTGTTCGTGCCTTGTGCCCTCAGAAATCAGAAGAGGGCATGGGATCCCCTGGAACTGGAGTTAGGGATAGTTGCAAACTACCGTGTGGGTGCTGGGAACTGAACCCAGGTCCTATGGAAGAGCAGCCAGTGCTCTTAACCACTGAGCCATCTCTCCAGCCCCAGCTGTGTATTTCTAAAGGTGCCCCTGATGGGTCTTACAATGACTACACTTAAAAAACAGTCCCTATTGTCTGCTGTTTCTACTCAAGATAAGGCATCCCCCTTGAGTAATGGGTAGGCCACCGATTTGATAAAGACAAGAACACTGAGCCAGGTGGCCTTAACAGGTCTGACAGCCTCCTCTGTCACTCCTGGTGCCCTGATTTCTTTTTGTCTTTCTGGTTTTTTCAAGACAGGGTTTCTCTGTGAAGTACTGGCTGTCCTGGAACTCACTCTGTAGACCAGACTGGCCTCGAACTCAGAAATCCACCTGCCTCTGCCTCCCAAGTGCTGGGTTTAAAGGCGTGCACCGCCACTGCCCGGCTCCCTGATTTCTTTATAGAGGTCCAACAAACATCTGTCCCACCTATTTCAGCTGTGCCAGGTATGCACATGGCATGGTGGATCTTGTAACTTAGCTGACACTACCCTGGAGCAGAGACCTGAGTCCTCCTCAGGCCACTCCCCTGGGCCTTGTCAATATTCCAGAATCATGAAATAAACAATTGTGATTCATGACACTGTTTTAGGATGATTTGCTTCTCAATAATAGCTAACTGAAATAAGGGAGTATTTTTAAAAATCATACAATGGTAAGATTATATAATATTATGTGATAGCTAATTGAATCCTTGCAGCTAAATAGTACTGCTGTCATACCCATCCTACAGATGTAAAATCAAGGCACAGAACAGAGGTATCATTAAAACATTGCAAGGTACCTTGTCTGTAGTAAACCTGAGTACTCAGTCATTACTCTCAACATTGTGTCTGTCAGCATTAATGTCTTGATAGGTGTTGAGGTGGTGGACAGGCGAGTGGTGGTACTTCTAGGAGAGCAGTTGTAGGCTACTCCCTTGGCAAGATGGGAAGAGCGGCCCATCCTTGGTGGTGTCGTTGGAGTGCCATGGAGTCCGTTTGCTTCTGACTCGCTCATAGAGAATGCAGCAGGCTGTTGTAGAGCCCAGTCAGCTTGAGCCTCTTCTTCCTCGGAAGCCATGTTGTCCTAGCGAGCTGTTGCTCCTGTTCGCTCCCTGTTGACTGTCCCCATCGCAGGCAGGCACTTGCTGTTGTGGGAGCACTATTGGGGATGCCAGGGCTATAGCAGCAGACAAGTCCCAGGGGCAGTAGGAATGTTCGGAGGGCTGGAGACAGGGGAGCTCTGTAAGGAGGGCATCTTTGAGGAAAATATTAAAGAACTAGGCCAAAGGGGAGGAAAGACAGACCTGCCAGGAAAAGAAAGCCAGTTCAAAGGCCCCAAGGTATACTAGAGAGGACAGGAATTGGACAGGAGTGAAGAGTACAGGGACAGAGTTCACAAGGAGATGTCCTGAGGGCTTGACTCTGGCACTGAGTAACATGTAAAGCATCACTGGAGCTAGAGCACTGAGCTCTGGGGTGGGTGTTCCAGAGCCCCCTCTGCCGGCCGTGTGGGCAGAGGTTGGAACCATTCCAGTGGACTGTCCAGCTGGTGTCTGCATGTGGCTTGGCTGCAGGAGAGGTGGTCAGTGTGGGGTGAAGACGAAGGGTGAGAGAAGCCCATAGCAGCCTGAGTGTGGGAAGGAAGAAGGAGGCTGGCCTGTGAATGGAAAATAGCAGGCAGGTATAGGTACATGTGACAACAGTCACCGTATTGCTAGTGTGAGATCTCTGTGAGATCACAGAAGGGGAAGACAGAGACCAGGACTGGAAAGCCACAGTCATCTCTATGTAGGATGACTAACATGGAGGTTTCTGGGTCTGAACAGTGTTGAACTCAGGACTCCCCTACCTCTTGGTTGGTCCTGAGCCTTGAAAGCAAGAGAAGGCCAGGGCCCTGGGAGTAGAACTGAGTCAGAACCTGGGACAGTGCCTGGCTCTCTGGCTGCTAGACGGAGGCTGGCCCCTGCCTCAGCATCCACTGCTTCCTCTTTCTGTGCAGGTGGCTAGCTGCTCTTGCCCCAGCTCTGTGTGGCCTTCTTGTCTAGCTCCCTGCCGCTCTTCCACTCTTGGTCCCACTTCAGCTTGCCAGAGTTGAATTGCAGGGGCCAGAAGTACAGGTCTGCAGTGGCTGATGTGTATCTGCTGCAAAGGGCTCTGTGACCCCAAGTCTCAGTTACAGTGTACTAACAGTTGGTATGATGGGTCAAGGATTTGAACCTGGTTTTTTGGGGGGAGAGGTGAATAGTCCATTTGTGTGTGGCTCTGAGAAGTGGGCAGGAAACACTAGTGGTGGGCATCCCAGTAGAAAGTAAAGTAGTCTAGCAGGCTCTGAGCTGTGAAAAGCTCAGTTAGGTCAGGAGCATTTCTTCCCACGTGTTTCTTGCGAACCAGACATAGTGATGGCAGGGCCAGCCTCTGCCTTCAACAAACACACAAGCCAGTGGGAAGGCAGGCTGCCTGCAGACAGAGGTCAAGGCTGAGATGAGGAAACAGGCTTGAGTTGAGTCATGGTGGCAAAGAAGTTGCAAAGGGCTATGGGAACTCAGAGGCCATGCCTGGCCCAGTCTGAAGTATCAGAGAAAGGAGATGGGGGTGAGGCGTACAGGAGTGTACACCTCAAATGGGGTGGCTGGGGAGCACTGGAGCCCAGTCAGTAGGGAAGAGACTGTCATTCAGTAGTTTTAGATTTGTAGAAAAGTGTCAGGGATCATGCAGAAGCTCTCCCCAGATGTACCCAGCTCCCCTGGTGTCAGTGTCTTCTAGTCTAGGACACACCCACCAAAGCCAAGACTCATCTGCTCCCGTTTTCTAACCCTGTCTCTCCCGTTTGCCTCTCGGAAAATCATCCCTTTTCTTCTGTTCAGGTCTGGCCCAGGGGGCCATACTGCATTTATCCTCAGTCCCATTCCGGGACATTTTCTCCAGTCTTGTCTTTTCTCCAGGCCAGTTTTGTGTGATGGTGGTCAGCAATTCAGAGTGCTGCTCTGCCTGGGTTTCTTAGGTACCGGCTCATGGTTAGACAGGGATTATAAATTCTGGAAAGGCTACCAACGTGGTTTACCGAGGCCTTTCATTCAGGGTGTCTACGGGTTTCCCCAGCTGTAGGATTATTATCTTCACTTCCACTGTCTTTCTGTAAGAAGTGGTCATGCACTTCACCTCACACCAAACTCCAGTTCCTGAAGAGAAAACTGTCAAGGATTTGTATCCGTGTGTTAAAACTGCTACAGCACAAGAGCCTGCTTTCTGTTGCTATAGGAAAATCCCCGAGACTGGGTCATGCAGAAAGAAGAGCTCAGTTCTGGAACTGAAAGTCCAAGGCAAAGCAGCCCCGTTTGTTTGCGTTCATGACTTGACGTACATGCCATCATGTCTGAAAGGGGTCAGCAGGAAGGCAGCCAGACAGGGAGGGAAGCCCAGGCTTACTTTTTTATAATATTCGTGGGGACTGACTGGAGTCTCATAAGAACATGTCAGAGAGCACACCCCCAGTGACATCATTACAGTGACGATCAAGCTTCCAATACATGCCCCTCTGAGCAATGTTCACACCTCCCAGGGCATAAATAGTAATAAGCAGACTGGGAGGGCACTGTGGGGCTGTGACCGTGCCCCTGCCCTTGAGTGTCAACACTGCTGGTACTCCTCACCAGTGGCTCTGGCCTGTGGCATTCTAATGAGAATTGTTGTATTTTCTTTTGTTTATTTCTATAACAGTTGTGTCGGCATGAACTCAAGGTGTTCCTATCGGTATAGCCCAGTGGTGTTGTTGGAGCTGCTGTAGCCGTCCAGACAGGCTCCTGCATCCTCCCTGTGTTCTCTCCTTGAGCTCTCTCTCTCTCTCTCTCTCTCTCTCTCTCTCTCTCTCTCTCGCTCTCGCTCTCACTCTCTCGCTCTCTCTCTCGCTCTCTCTCGCTCTCTCTCGCTCTCTCTCTGTCCCTGCACCAGGTCACAGGTTCATGGGCTTTTCTCTAGGCAGCTCTGAACCCTTCTGGTGGAGAACGGTGTTAGACTCAGGTCTAGGCATGGGGTGTGCCACTGCCTCCTGTCCTAGCTGGTGCTGCCTAAGGCATCACCCATCTGTAACCACACACATACACACACATTTCTTTGCAGTCCTCTGTTCATGCCTCTGACTCAGGTCAGCACTCAGGAGCCACACAGATTACTGTTGAAGTAATCGTGCTTGTTCTTAATCAGCTGCCATCTTCCCGACTAGCCTAGGGCTGAGGTCACGAGCAGCAGCGGCAAAGCCGCCAACCCAGGCAGCCAGAGACACTGGCCCTGCCACCCACGAGACGCCAGCGTGGGAAATGGCTCTGCCAATCTTCACACTGTCTTCACAAGGCTGGGCTGAGCCCAGACCATCCCGCCATCCGCGCAGGCCTGGTAGAAATGAGACGAATGCTTAGATTATCCATATTTGGTAATGCTCAATTAACAAGATGCCCACACAATTGGAGGTGTTTCCCAATTAACTCACCTAGATTTACATTGATACCCAGGACTGCTCTCGATCCAAGTGTAGTTCTCCATCCTCCTCCATGTCTGCCCCCTTGCTCCTACTCTTCCTTCTCTTCCTCCTCTCCTTAGTCCTCCTCTTCCTCTTCTTACTCCTCTCACCTTAGCCCCTCCCAGCTTGCGGGAAAATACGACGCTACAGATTCCTGCTTCCTTCGGACCTTCTAGATGGCAAGCAAATTGCCTTTGTGTGCTCCTCGTTCTTGTCTTATACGGTCATCTTGGAGGAAGCCAGCAGCATGGCCAGGCCTGCATCTGAAGTACTTCTCTCTGCAGCCAATCTTTGCCATTCTGCTGGCCCCAGAGACGGCGTCTAGCAAGCCCCAGTGTTCTCTCTGTGTTTACTCTCTGGGCTCTCCTCACTCTCCTCACTCACTGGCAGTCTCAAATCAGTCTTGTTTCCTTCCTGTGCTGGTATATCTCATCTCCTCCTCGTCTCAAGGCCTGGGAAACACCCTCTGCCTCTGGTAGCCCTTGGGCTCTCAGCTCCATATGCTGCTGCACCCTGCCCTCTCTTAGAGTGACCCTTGCGTAGTCACCAGCTCTCCTAGCCTGTCCACTGGGGCTTACACCTCCCTTCTGTCGCTCTGTCTCACCCACTACCATCCTCCCATGCCCAATCCCCATTTTCAGCCCAGTTAAACTCAGTGGGAGAAAGAAGTTCCTCGGTGTGTGGCCACAAGGAAACAGACCTCCAGGAATCTGCTCATCCCTGCAGAGGCCCTCAGAGGGGAGGGGGAGGTCTGCCTCCGCGTCTGTCATGGTCGGCCCTGACTGTCCTCTTGAGTCATGTCCACACCACAGCTCCTGTCTCTTACATGCTTCAGCTGCCCGTCTAGGCACCTTCCGATGTCACCATCCCTGCCTAGAGTCAGGGCTGTGCTGTGTGTCACAGCATCAGGAGGAGCTGACAGATTCTCTGGGTGTTGGCCACATTAAAAGATTGCCACTGTGGAATCTGGCTGTGAGGACAATGAGCTGGTGTCTATGAGCTATCAGTATGGCCATTTGATCCATCTTAGAATGAGCAGTGTGGTGACATAGGCCTGTCCCAGCACTTGAGAGGCAGGGGCAGA